TCTCTCTCTCTCTTCTTCACAGCTCTCTGACTTAATCTCATTTGGACTGCCTTTCAACCTCTCTCTACTTCCAACTCTCCGCTTTCTGTGTGAGCTCGCACTTTCCAACGTGCCTGAATCAAATAATTAAGTTTTACGTGGTGCAGATAAACCCGGTTTGCATGGGAATGATAAAGTCATTTGTTTGCAGAGCGGAGTCCATAAAGCAGCGATGAAATTAAAATGTTTCTCCTGTTTGATACGCCATCTTGGTTTTTTCTTGTTCTCTGTGTGTGTGTGTGTGTGTTAGTCTGGCACAGCAGCAGCCTGCTACTAACCATGTCATCACAAAAAAAATCTGTAAAAGGGGGGAGAATGATTCCTGAGGGAAAGTAGACGATTGTTGCTTGAAACAAATGGGGTGGCCTCAATATGTGCAGCTCTCTCACTGACATGAACATCAGTTAACTGAAGTTTTGCCTCTTCAATGCTCGGAGATGAAACAGACAGCCAGCGGATAAACTGCAGTCTGCAGTCACTAATCACTGGACGTGAGACCAAAGCAGTAAAGTTTGGGCTGTTGGAGATTTTTATGGTCTAGATATAGTTTGTTAACTTTGTCCGTCTCATATTTTAGACCTCTCTTACACAGGATGACACAGCAGACTGAGCTCAGAGGAAGAAGAAGTTATAATGCAGAACATTCTTTCCTACGTATCCGGAGGACGCAAGGTTCAGGTAGGAAGACAAACAACTTGGGGAAGGTATGAAATATCTCAGAGACAATGGTTTGATGAGACGAGCCGAGGTTTAGATGTTCAGATTCGCCACAATTGAAGAAAAGGAGCGATGCAGGATGTTTTCAGAAGCAGTGTTCTTAATTTAATTATGACTTTTGGTGGCAGACGAAATAAGTGCCGTGTTTTTGTTTTTGGCTGTTCGGTATGAAACATCCGTTCCCTTACTCTGCCCCCCTGTATTTCTCACTAGCCTGTAAAACTCTCGACCACCCTCCGCTCCACTTGCTGTTCCATTTCTGTCATTCTCCATCTCTTTACCTCCTTCCTTCTCTCCATCCATGCATCCAGAGGGTGGTTTGTGTGCTGTAGCGTCAACGCCTGCAGAGTCTGCAGCTTTTCTATCACCTCATTATCCTACATCACAATGCTTGGCCTGCTTCCCTGACCTTCTCCCTTCTCTGGGTAATCTGCTGTTCCTTACTCATATCAGCTCCGTCGCGCTCGTCCTCTCTGAATTCTTTTTTTGTCTTAAGCAACAAGGGGGTAAAAAAAAAAACACCTGAGATTTGTTCTCTTTGTCACACACACACACACACACACACACACACACACAATAGATGTAAACCACAGGGTGTAAGATACTTATTTCAAACCATTTAATAATTCATACTCCTCTTTCTGAGAGATGTCAATTTAGAACTACTGCTTAATAAACTAGAGGGGGACTCAGTATAGTGCAGGTCTCAACAGTTACACATACTCAGAAGCTGTGTCTCAATTTCGGGGACACCTCATTCGGAGGTTGCTCTAGAAGACCGTGGGGGAGATTTGACCGTCCCATTTTGAAGGATTCTCCAAATCTTTTCCATCTCGAAGATGGTGGATCTCTCTCGGGCCAACCTATCCCAGGATTCATTGCGTCCGATGCTAGCATCAGGTGTCAGCTACAGGTAAACCAAGGGCCAGTAAAACTTCTGTATCGGGTCCAACAGCAGCCGTATCGCTCGGCGACAAGCGGGTGAGGCCGATCAGAGACTGTTAGTTTAATGGAAGGAGGAATCAACGCAATCAACCCTTTATTCCCTCTGTGACAAATCCAAACATATCTACGGGTGCTTGGAGTTGATTTTCTTACACTTTTTATCTTTGGCCGTAACAGGAAAGTGATTTTTGTGAGGTAAGTGATTTAAAAAGATGTGGAGAACAGTGCCATTAAGTAAATGAATGCAAAAAGGGGTAAAGAATAAAATAATGAAGTCTAAGAGGACAATGAAGCACAATGAGTACAATAAAAGAAAGGCAGTTCAATAGTCAAGGGATGAATAACGGCAGTGCACACGAAGCCATCTTAAAGTCACGAACCATTGAATTGGTTTTTCAACCTGGAGACAAACTAAAAAGACAATTAAGTTTTGGAGGAGTCAGGAGAGACAGATTAAATTGCATGAGTCAAGCTCCGAAGCACATAAACCTGATTCCTTCACAGCTCCTCCAAAACTCCTCGACTGTAAATGTCCACATCTTTTTAATATCAGCATCGTCAGTTTGTATTACAGGGGTTTTCTTAAAAATTTGTATTTTCCCCACCTGAGCTTTGAATTCCGTGACCCGTCACTTCTCTGGGATTATCTTCTTGGACGACGCAGACTACATTTTTCAACATGCAAATGTTGGAAGTGTTTAACAGTTTGAAGGTAAAAGTTAAATAGGGACACCTAGTTACCGGTTGTTTCTTATCTACTAAGGTTCACCTGAACCCTCCCTACCTCTATCTATACTCTAAGCCTTACAGCTGCATAAGCACAACTTCAAATAAATACAAATCCAGTAAAAGAAAGTGCTCTGACATTTTTGTTTCACCTTTCCCAGACTGAAGGTGTTTGTAGTTTTGTGCTAAACACATTGAGGACTAAATGTATTTCTGTACAAGCCACAAATCTATTGATCTTGCCGTCTGACTGTTGGTGGGACATGACACGGTTTGCTCGACAGTCTTAACTGTGTTATATTATTGAAACGCTGTCTGTGAGAGAAGGGGACATAAATTCAGTATAAAAACACAGAGGGAGACTTTTGTACTGCAGTTTCTTACATATCGTGACACGTATACAGTCGTATATTATCCACGTAATTGACAGATCCTCTTCTGGGTTTTCCCATCGTACTGTATTAGTTGTGATAACTTGGCAGGATTTAGATTTTTTTCATTCTTAAAGAAAGGATGTTAAACACACTTGAGTGATAATGAGGTAAAGGTACTGGCAGAAGAAACCTGGGGAACCACAAGAGTTTTTGCTCATCTACTTGCCAGTGAAGCACTTAAAGTGAAGGCACTTCACAGAGTAAGGTTGAGACCTTACAACATGACTGATGACTTTGCTTCATCATCAGTCACTGTACACAGCAGAGGAGCAAATTATCCTCGGCCTCTCCTCTACCTCCCACTGCTTCAAAAGTTAATGGCTACTCTTAAAAGATGAGGTGCGATCAACGTCTGAAGATCAATCAAACTTAATAATTATCATGAAAAAGAGGAAAAGATTAGTTTTTATTTTAAAATGTGACCTGTTCTGCCTTTGGGTCAAACCTACCTTTCAAAATATATCAGGCTACAGTGACAGGGAGCGACACAGAGTTTTTATATCATCAAATAATTAGAACCAAACTCATCAAAAACATAAACACCAGCACGAACAATGTCGATGAGATGAGAAGTACTACTACTCAACTTTAACCTGCAGGTGATCGGCCCTTGGTTCAACTAAATTAAATAACGGAGAGGGTACTGCGTCATAGTCATACATTTACACATGAGCTCCCTCAGGGGACAGCTGCCGGTTGAGTGAAGCACTTGGGTAAGTTAAGTGCCTTGCTCAAGGACATATCCCCTGAGAATGAAGAATGAGTCTGCACTCGTTTTTCTCTCCAATGAGCCATTCATCATCCACTTTCTCCACTCTCATCCCTCTATCTACACCCATCACCTCCAAACACCCTCCACTCATCCTCGCCGCTCCATCGTAAGGGTTCCTCCTCCTGTCCCCCCCGCTCCCTCCACCACTGTCTCTCCTCGGAGCCCTCCCCATGCAAGTAACTCAGATAACCACCCTACACGTGAAGGCTTTGTGTCACCAGACAAGATGCATGGGAAGCGTCAAGACGACACTGATTGAAACACAGGAACACTTTTAGTACGAGCCCACCCCCCCGGTCACATTTTTCGTGTCCAAAGCCATTTTCTATAAAGATCTGTGTCGTGTTTTAGGTTTGGTGATTCTGTTGTGGAGGTCAGCTTTGAGTAATATTTCACCAACTTCTTTTCAACCCCAAGAAAATCTGAATTCTCCGTTTCAAATATACTTTTGAACCACAGCAGTATTCATCTGAATGTGTGACACACCTGCAAAAATGTGCTTCAAACAATAAGAAGTGACTCTGCTGAAGCCCTCTGCCAAATCATTCACTGAAACTGCTGTTTATTTTTCCACTCCGTGATGAACTAGCTGCTCACACACACACACACACACAACACTGCTTGGCTTCAGTATTTTAAAGGTGCACTACGGGTTTTCTTTTTGACGGCTGTGGTACAGGAACTGGATCAGACTTTCACAGAGTCAATACTTTAAGTCAGTGACGGTGTTTTCAGGCTGTAAGACATCCGACAACAAAAGAATAGGATTCCTCAGAGATATGTTGCCCAGTCTTCACAAAGACCACATAAAAGAATGATAGAGAGCACGGTGGATGTGGATGCTGAACAAAGCACATATTTGATGTATCTGCCTCCATTAAAGACGGACCAGTGCTTGGCTCGGCATGAAAGAAGGGGTGGATGGGACAGACGGACCAAGAGAGAAAGAACAGAAGAACAGGGACGTGTGACTGGATTCAAATTCCAGCCGGCTACTTAAACGAACACCAAAATCCGTCCGCCGACATGAGGGGGAGAGGAGAGGACGGATGAGAGGGGAGACCGGAGAGGACAGAGAGAAAAAATGTCAGGAGGAGGAGGGAGGTAGGAGGGGAGGAGGCGAGAGGTTGCAAAATGGAAGACGATATTTTTCAAACTTTTTCCATCTTTCACTCCTGCCATCCAGGTAGTAATACACAAACCTAGCCCTCAGGTTCGGTCACGTTGGCTGGGCTCCTTGATAATGAACACGACGTGTGTACTGTGGGGAGACATTGGGTTCAGGTCTTCACTGACTCTTGGGCTTGGACAGGGTGTGGTCGCACACAATCTCACAAATACACACAAACACAAAGGTCAGTACTTACTTCCTGTCCAGAGAGGTAGTAGGCGGCCAGCAGTCCTCCTATGAAACGAATGTTGACCTCAAACACTGACACCTCGGAATTCTGGGAAAATAAATGAGCACAGATTTAAAAAAAACACAAATAAATCCCATTGTGTTTGTGTTGACAATTTAAACCTCTCTTTAAAGTAGGTCTTAATTACATTCGGGTAACTGTCAGCCATTTTACAATCTTCTTTAGTCTTTCTTTTGGTTTCAGGCTTTGTCGTTTGAGCTCGTTGGATGTTTCTGGAGCAGAAGCACAGCTTGAGTTTCTTTTCATGTTTTTTCACAAGTGTTTTTGTATCAAACACTTTTCACGACCTTCAAAAAATATCTTAAATACACAGAGAAGCAGGACAACTGTTCTCTTCCCCAAAACAGCACATCCAAGCCAAATAAATCAAATCACAGGCAAATCTCATTCTTGTGGAGAAAATATAATTCATGGAAAATCTGACTCACTCTCTCAGGACTAATTCAGGGACCCGTGGAAAAACACTGGGCGACGTCCAGGAGAAAAGATGTTCTGAGCTGATAATAGTAAGTAAATAAGAAAGTAATAATATATTATATATAAGATGATAATTCAATGCATAATATGCGAGCTGGGGATTTTGTTCAGTGAAAAACTAAATAAATAAACATCAGTTTTAAAGAATAAAAAAAGGGACATTTCACTCAACATATTGAATACATGTTTACATTTCTGACTCAGGCAGAGACCACCGGAGTCAAACAGAGACACTGAGGCTAACCACATTGCAGCCTAGCACGGCTCTGATGGGACATTGGTGAATCACACTTGTAGCTCGGACTCATCAGTGCACTGCTGGAAGAGCAAAGTCAGAGGGAGACTGTGAGGTGAATTATTTGTGTATCCCAAAACAAATCTAAACTCACCGACTGAAACAATCCTTGTGTTGCCGGTGTGATAAACTTTCCTTCTCCCTGGCTATTATTTGCTGGCTTCTGTGGAAAGCATGAGCTGGTTTACTTGTGTGCAGAGCACAGCTTAAAAGAAGCTAACCCTCAACAAAATATTCACATTGTGTACTCTAATGTATCCCAAAGAATAATCACCCTGTTGCCAGTCTTGCAGCTTTCCCAGCTCACACACTCCATGGCCTAGAATTAGCATGCCAACTGTAAGCCACTTAATGCAAAATACCACTTGGTGTAAAAATGCTTTTCGACTATCACACTCGGGTAATTCAAGTGAAATTAGGATCTGTGGCAGTGATGGACAACTTCCTGGGATGCCTCGCAGCCCACGACATTCAGAGGCTGAGAGCTATCTGCAAACTAACGTGTGACCTTGCTGTGATACTTCAGAAGAAATTAGAATATTGGCTATAAGAGATTAGGGCTTTACTTTTATCTCTAAAAAGAAGTCGGAGTCACCTGGATTTATAGTCGATGCACTCTAGAGGGGACAGAGAGAGACGCTATGTCTGAATCTTAGAGATGTGGCTTTAGCTAGAAACAAACCTCTTCATCACTCTCTCTTTATTACCTCATGAGGTAACTGCAGCCTTTATTCACAAACATTCATAAACCTGCTTCATCCATCACACCCTCCAGTTTCAGGTCAGGCTGTAAAGGCCACATCACTGCTTATTTTCCTGTGACTTCTAGCTACCTCCACTAACCTGCTCTCAATCCATCACGAGTCTCTTCGCTCCTGGCCCTTTCTACCATGCGTGGTCTAGAGCTGTCATAAATCGTCATACTAGTGCTGCTGGGAAGCCTTCGCAATAGAATTCTGGGTAATTGTCAGCCCTCTTCGTAACCCTCATTCCACAGGACTATGATTTCGAGCAGAACACTTTTGTTTCCTCCTGAGGATCACAGCTTTATGTCCAGCCGTAGAGAAGTGTGAATATCCCAAATACTGCGGCTTTGGCCCAACATCAAACCTCCAATTTCATGATCTGTACTTCTTTTGGATTTGGTTTGTGGCCTGCGGTGACAGGTGTGACTCCCTCAGGAAACTAAACAAAGCACTCTACCTTTTTTCATTACTTTTCTTTGCCTTTTACTCGAGAATCGACAAATGACAGCGAGAGCTCAGAGGCATCTGCAATCGACCTTGAGTGAAAATATTTTTTCACGTGGTCAGAAAGTGTGATAATGCACCAGTCTCACTCGAAGCTGCCTCCACCCCCAAAGATCCCACGTATGCAGTCGTGAAGAGAACAGAGTCGAATCCCAACTGGACGAAGAATGGGTTGTAGAACCGAATCTCACCTCCACTGCTCCACCTGTGTTATTTTCTTCTTGACTAGATCCCACTTTGTTCGAGAGGATCCCATCCACCTTTGCTTTGTTTCTTCCCCAAGGTCGCTCCCTCTCCCATCTTTTAAACAGAAGGCTACTGAAGGAAGTTAAAGCAACACTACGCAAACTTTACTTACTTAAACTCAGCTTCAAAATGAGTTTGACGGTGAATAGGGAGAATGGAGTCTCTTTAATTTTCACTCATCACTCTCAACACCTGTCGATCAGTTAATAAGAGTTAAAAACCAGCGTCTGTCTCCAATATTCAGCATGAAAACTTTCAAAATATGAAGAATTCTAAAAAAGAGTTTTGTGTTTGTAACAGTGGCAGCTCTTCTGGTTCAGGAAGCTGGGGAATATGGGTAATACCCACCATTCTGTGGGGTTCCAGTGCAGTGAGTGGGACGACGCGGTCAGAGCTCCACTCGACACTTTGATAGAAAACAGCTTAATCTTTTCAGCCGCTGCATCGAAATTATAAATGTTTCCTTTCAATGTCCAACTTTGTTCAGGTGAGAACCCTTGTTCTTTCTTAAGTGCACAATTAATCTGAAGAGTGAAAGAGCAAACGAAGATCTGGAAGCACACAACAAAACAGCAGGAGCTGCGGGTCACGGAGCGGCTGTTACATTGAGCGATGAAGGGAAGCTCTTAAAGCTGAAGGCCTGCTTTGTTCCTCAGCATCCATCCATCTAACTAACCCTGTCCGTCAGTCACTCGTTAGCCATTTACATCTGTAGTTTCAGACCATGAACCCCAATGAGCAGCAGACCTGACGTACCTGCGGTGAACACAGATGAGACCGAGAGGAATCACGTAGGTTGTTCAATGACGCATGAGAGCGGCACACGAGAAGTCATGATTTGTTTTGGTACGAAGCTTCAGAAATAGGTCAGCATCATTTTCTGATGCTCTATCATAAGACAGCTCTTAAAGACATACTGTACTCGCTCTCCCCCATGAATTACATCCACTTTCCAACCCTCTCTACTTTGTCTATTAATATCCTGCCAGTATAAACATCAAGACATATTTTAAGACATTTCTTTCCTGTCACAGACAATCACTGTTGTGTATTTAGATTCTGCCTCTTCTGTAAAAAGCACCTCTTGCTAAGATCCACACTCAGGAGGTCATGGAAATAAGATTGACTGATGTACATTCAACTGGCGCTCTGCTGCTTCAGCAGATCTATCAATTGAGGCTTGTCCCAAGTGTCAGCTGAGTGTTAAATATAATCTACAATCATTCAATCACCATACGTGTCAAAGGAATGTGAAAAACATTTCATCATTTTGAGTGATATGCCAAAATTTCACTGGTTCTAAATTCAAAGGGGATTTATTTGGTGGTTTCTACTTCTGCATCAGTCTCAGATTTTCACAGCACAAAGCTGGATAATATATTACAAAACAAAAGCCTGTTGAACACTCGGAGAGAACACTTCTGCCGATGCCACGACAAAGCGACAGAGGGATGGTGTTGTTGGTGTCGTCAGGTGGAAATGAGCTGCTGCAACAACAATCCTGAGTTTTTTCTAAATCCTCAAGCGATTACCATGACAGCCATGTTTGCCCTGGACGTCAGTTGTTTCCAGTGACGTCACACATGTCGTAAAAGTAAGAAATCGTTATTTTATTTTCGCCTAATCTGACACGGTGTCCATCCTAACATACAAAAAGATCTTGTACTCTGAACCCAGCACATCTTCAAGACTTTGAATCAGTATAACACGGTTCAATTATCTTTTGTATTCCTTGTTTTCATTCTACATAATTCAAACATTCCACTGAAGCATGAAAAAACATTGATAGCTGTACAAGTTTGAATGGAAACAAATGAAAAAACATGTGATCCACATAACTCCACCGAGAGATTATATTCTCCAGCTACTCGCCATCTCAGGTGTCAAGAGAGATGAAGCACACGAGGCTGGACAAGTCACTGTCACATGTCTTTGACCTTCAGTAAAACGCTCCGGGGAAAGTATAAAAGAGAGGAGACGAGGGGGCGTCGTGACAGACATGATAGCTTTCACCATGTAGGACAACGAGAGCACTGTCATGAAAATAATGAAGCCAGCTCTTCTTCGAAACACTGCGACACGACGACTCTGCTTTTCCACAGCGTTGCATGGAACAATGTACAACACAATTTGAATAAGGAACCGTCACTCTTGTAAAATTAAATCTGGTTAATCACACCGGGCTGGAAAGCAGCCTGTGACAGCTAGAATTAATTTATCTCTCCATCTCTGCGGCATCATCCCCAATCAAATCTGCAATTTAACCAGGGTTATTAATGCATTAGTTATCGGGGTCCATTAATTTGGTGGATCTTTGAGCCCGGCGATGGATGCAGCCCTCATGCCAACACATTCATCATACGAGGGCAAGCTGCAGTGCGGGGGCTCCATCAGGACATTGGAGACTCAAACAATGACTCACTGCTTGGCTCGACCTGACATGGCAACTATTCAATCATTCATTAGTGTTGAAGCTGGTGGATGTGCTGGAGATGGCAGGTGGGTGGCTGAACTGATGGGAGCAATACATGGAATAAAAATCTGCACATGATACTGGAAACATAAAACTGTAATGTTAAGATAACATTGAAGCAATGGGGCCATGTTCCTAGATAGCATCTATCTATCTCTCTATCCATCCATCCATCCATCCATCTATACATTGGTGATTTACAAACAGTTTTTAATCTGTTTTCTCAGAAAATAATAAGCTTAAACCATCATTTATTTTAAATATAAAAACTATTTGAAAACCACGAGTAATCCCTAGTAGGCCCATCTCTCTCACTCAGTCTTGATACAAGTGTAAAGGGGAACAACTACCCTCATCATCAAGGTCAAACTGTGGCTAACTGGGATGGCAAACACACCCAGCGGCACGACAGCTCAGTGTAATGTTGAGGGAACCTGCACCCACACATGCATCCAGAGAGAGTGATTAAACTGGACCGAGAGTGATGTGTTTAATCTCTTAAATGGAAATCCAGACTCTGCCTTTATTGCAGCCTCAGAGCTGATAAGAGAGATCTGGTGTGGCTGCAACCTTGGGTTGAGCAAATCTTTGATTTTCACAAGGGCCAAGCTTAATAACACTTTTGCCACCGATTACGCTGCCAGGCCTCTGCAGGCTTGAAATATATTGCTCCCTACGAGCCGGGGAATTTCCTATTTTGTAAAAGGCCTGAGCAGAAACCAGAGTAATGCCATGGCCCTTTTGCTAAGATTGAGCTTAAACTAGCTTAACCTTTCATGAATGTTACAGTAGCTGGAAGCTGATGCCCGAATCCTTTGCCTAATGTATGCAGGTACAAAAGCACCAAACCGAGACGTTAATGAAAGCACAGTGACACACCTCCTCCTCCTCCTGCTGCTCCTCTCCCCATTAACAGCTCCAGGTCTCCTTTTCTCATCTCACCTCTTATCCCATCTCTGCATTCTCCTCTTGTGTATCCAAAGGGGTTTCTCCACCTTGGCTTTCTCTACAAGCACATTCTCATTGTCTCATCGTCCTTTCATTCTAATTGCAGTTGTTATACGTTTCACAAGTCCTCACCTTTTTAATAAGGTGTAAACCTCACACTGTTTGGAAGGTTTAATAACAATGGCTGCTCCTGCAGGGGTTTGCACTGTCACTCTGCCTGAATACCTGATTGTGTTTGCAAAACGCTTCCACTTATATTTAAAGAATATATTGACGTGTTATATTGAATGCGTTAACTTTAATTCCTTTCTGCGTTACCTTGGTGTTTGTTGGCTGATCGTTCATTTATAAAAAATAAAAAAAAACTTTAATTTATCATGATCTTTTCCTTGATAAGTTCACGTCACATTTATTTGTCCATCTAAAAATGTCTTATTCTATCAACACTTAATCTACTCGGTGCCTTCACATCCACCTCAGAGGCACCGTTTATCAGACTAAATCTGAAAATCTGATTTATGAGGCATTTTGCAAAAGGCATTCACACTTTGTAAAGCTTCAGAGAGGGTATCGAACCTTTGGTGCTTGAATGACACCATCATTTCAAAACTGAGTATCAGAGCTGCACCGAACACATTCTGACAGCGGAATCAGATCTGGACGTTCAATGCAAATATTCCTTCATGATTCGTTGCTATTGTATACGATATGCAGACAAAGCTTTATTGAACAGGATTCGGTGTTATCTCTCCGAGCTAACGTGTGCTAACTGCGCTAGTGACAGATCAGACACGTGCAACTAGATTTGTTTTTGCCAAACACAGATTTCAAACAATGACGACTTTGCACAGGGGATTGATTTTACCCCAGATAAGAGCGTAAATGTGAGAGAGGCTTAGTCTGAAGTTACGCAAACTGACTGTTTAACATAAAATATACTTATACAGAGATAGTTAAAGCCCATTTCTTTCTTCTACCTTTCAACCTTCTCTGCTACTTTGTCTTCTCCTCTAATCTTTCTTCCTCCATGTCTTCATTGGTCTATTCATCCAAACCCCCATCTTCTCATTCTGGCTGATCTTCATACCTCTTTCTCTTTCATTGCCTCTTCTTCCACATTTCTCTTGTCACTCCATCTCTCCAGACCCAATTTCTCCCTCGTCCTCCATTCATCCATCTAAGCCTTTTTCTTCCTCTCTCTCTCTCCCTCCCTTGTTCTTCAGTACCAATTCCTCCCTCCATCCTTCTTTCCGCTGCTCAACCACAGTGATCCCGAGGTTAATTAGCCCTCCAAGTGTCAGACTGTTAGATCCCCTCCTGCCTACCTGCGAGCTGCCCTGTGATTGCCTCAGTAGAGGGACTAACAAGCTTGGTCAGACATTGGTGCAGGCAGAGAGTAAGGAGTAAAGAGCAAAGATAAGCCATACATGGACAAAATAATGATGTCAAGGGAGGGAATGAGAATGCAGAGAGAAAAGGGGGAGAAAGGGAAAGTGGTAAAGGATGGAGGTTGGAGAATGATGGAGGGAAAGTAGTGAGGGAACAGAAGAGTGGAAGGAGTGAGAATTATCGAGGGGGGGAAAAGATGAAGGTAAAATGAACTCTTACGATGGACAGAGCGTGAGCTGAATAAGAGCAAGTGATGGCTGTGGCAGGAGATGAATGGACGGATAAAAATTGCGATTGTTAAATGTAATGAAAGAGAGAAGACAATAAAGTGGTCAATTCCAGCACGAGCGAGGGGTTATCAAAGACAACACACAGGAATCGCCTCAGTAAAGACAAAAATAGATGGAAGGATGAAAACGGGGGTCGTAAGACAACGCAGGGAGCACAGTAAAAAAAAAAAAATAGGAGGAGGAGGGAGGTGGATGTGATTGGCGGGTGAAAAGGGGGGAGAAGGAAGCTGTAATGGAAGAGGAGGGTGGAAATAAATGAGCAGAGCTGCAGATGTGACGGACAAGAAAGGAGGGTGTTAAAAGAGGAGTGTGAGGGAAGAGCGAGGGGAAGGAGAATAGATTGAAATGGACAGAGAATTATGAACATCAACAGACAGGGAAAATGAAGTTGTTAGAGGGAGAGTCGATATGAACCTTTCATACATATCAGTATCTGCATTATGTTCGCTGATACTAAACATTCCACTGTAGAGGATCAATAAAAGATTTAAGTTAAAATATATTTTATTAATTCAAGTTCCTTATGTTTGGGTGCAGTTGTGTTTTCATTATATAATTCATTATCTATAGTTATCGTAGAAATCCCACAACAACTTTTCAAAAGACATTTACTGGTGGATGTGTCTGCATCAAGATGTCAGTCTGGCTCTGCTTGACTTTGTTTTTTATTGTGATTTTATTAATCTAACTCTTAATTTACAATTCTTAACTCGACACGACCCTGTGGACTATTTCAAACACAAGTAAAATCCCTGAATTTGGGAAAACATGACCATACTGAAAAAGTAAATTAATTCTGTGAGACCTGCATGTTATCTGTGTCCTGACGGTGCTGGAGGACATGTTGTTCATCAGATAAATTAAACCTGCTCTCTTTTAATGAATACATCGTCAGAACCCCATTAGAAAGGATGCACTACGCTGTCAGAGTAATTGGTAAAATGTGGTAAAATGCATTAGGCTGTTTACCAAAGTAGAAAAGCGTGTTAGGATTTTCTTTTATTCCAAAGGTATTTCTTGTAAAAAGCATCCAGCCCTTCTGTCCTCTGCAGAACTTCATATCAGTCAAGAGCTGAGCTTACAGCTAAAGTCACTGTCCATCCTGCTGTATACTCGTGTCTCTAGAGGGGATTCACTTCCAGCTTTGGACGATAAACAGCTCTCGCTCCAGCACAGTGTGAAGACAAGCGTCTGCCAAATGAATGTAATGTACTGTAAAGTACGAGAGTGTTTTCACAGCAGGAGCGGGAAACACCACAACGTGTTCAATCCTTAAACAAGGTTCATTTAACCAAGCAGCAAGAATACGATTTATTCAAATGTTCAAGAGAAGATCGTTCAGATTGGGAATACAGACTGTGTATAAATATAGAGACTATAACAGCTCCCAACATCTTTCCCCTGGTGGCTGGCTGCAGTATAGGTCATAAACCACACTTTGTGTTTGCTGATGGGACATGAGTGAAATCCATTTTTCTCAGAGATGGTTTCTGTCATTTTAGGTCGTTCTCATCACACATGATGTATTTTCTCCAGACGACGCCACCAGAACCAGGTGGCAGCACTCGATTAGAGCATATTTATTATGACTTACTATGATTGAGCCCATCAACGTTGGACTGGACCTTAAATCTCAACATTTCCTGAATGTGTTACCACGTCTGTGTCATAGATTCTTTTAATGGACATAAGAAGTCTTCGTGTACTCACCACACCAAAGTCCAGGTTCTGCTCGATCCACTCCTGTCCGTCCTTGAACTCGTCGTGCAGACCCATGATGTACAGGGTGTCTAAGGCATCCACAATGGTCGCCCCTAGTTGGGAATTACCTGCAAATTACAAATAGAAAAATTAGATTAATTTGTTTTGTCACACTAGACCCAATTAGCTTTATTCAATAAACCTGCACTTCAGGCAATCATGAGGAGAAGTAATCACAAAACAGCTAAAATAAAAAGAGAGAAAGAAAGAAACCATACGACTGCAATAAAAACGACAATGATCAATTTTTTTAAGGATTAAAGTCAAATTGAACATCTTGGCAGCCATCACATGTGATTAATATATGTATGTAAGATTCACGGTATGACCTCTATCAACCTGCTTCTGTGTAAGTAGGAGGTCCGACATTCAGATCTACATTCCTTAATTACAGGAGTCTGTGAGTAATATCTTGTAACTGAGATGGGACGTTAAGTTAATTAGTGCCGAGTATAATAGCCAAGGTGTCACATCATCATCAAATGATAATTTGCCTCATTCACTTGGGTGTCACGGTTTGAAGATCAGGACATTACGGCTGAGACGTGATGTGATTCTGGTCACGTATGTGCGACACAATTCTCTGACAACAGGAGCGAGGAATCCAATTTAGAGTTCCAAATACTTCTAAAAGTCAGAAATCCCCGACAGCGCGGCTCAGCACTGCAGCTGCTGTTTCACTACCATTGATCAGCCACCCCATAAACCCCTGCAAATATATCACGGTTGCATTTTCGCGCACCACAGAAATAAAATGTTACTTACTGCCCCTTTAAGTAAGCTGCAATTCATCAAGGACTGTTGGTTCTACTCACTGTTGTATTTTAATACTATTCATCACACTACAGCTGAGGTCAGCATCTCTCCAGCTCCACCTCTGGGGCTTCTATCGCCGAATAATGCACAGCAATTTATGTTGTGCTTATTTAAATGCTTTAGGATTTGGAGGTATCATCAAAAACACATCTCTGTGTAAAGGGATTTGAGCCTAATTTACAAATGAGGAGCACAAACGTCATTAACAGGTCAGTGGGTCCTTGTCCTTTAACCTGGACAGTTTTCCCCTAAATTATCTTGATGGCGAAGAGCTAGAGAAGTAAATACAGTACATTCAATGAAATACGATATCTAAAGATGTGTCATAGTATAATACATAACAATTAGACCCCTGGGCAGATATTCAGCATTTAAATGTTTCTGATATGGATTGAATGGCTGAAAAATGTAACTATGCAAAATGAAACATGAACGCACATGTAAAATTCAGGTTTCCATAACAGCAGACATCGTTAACACTGACTGAAAAGACTGTGGAAGGCTGACCAATAAATCCATCCGGCACACTTCCCTTCCTTTTGTCCCAGGGCTGGGTGTTTATCACTGCACGTTTGAATAAACAGGGTTATATCTGTTTAAACATTTGACATACTGGCACTTAAATAAAACCGACTACATATCTTTAAGGCACGGAGGAGTCGATGCAGATTCTAAATGTCCTCGTTTATATGTAAAACAAGGCAGCAAAGTGTTCCAAGATCTCGTCAGATCATCTTGATTCTTCTCTATCACTGCTCAATGAATTTGGTCCAGTTTATTGCGGACACAAAAACAAATATGTCACTGGGAAAAGTCTGTGTCACTGCCCTGTAAATAATTCCCTGTGTCACACCAGCAAAGGTGCTGCTGGAATTCTTAGGCCTCATGGCTGTCCCTTCTTATCTACGCCTCCATTCAAAGGAGAAGCGTCTGGCTTCACGCGGGAGCTGCGGCGTTATTACCATTATAGACACGAACCGCTAAATCACTGGGAAAAAAACCCACTGCGGCCAAGTCGGCAGGGCTGATAGCGAGATGCCCTGGCCATCTGCCGGATCTAGACAGATTGGCCTGGACTGTTGGGGGAGCAGAGCCCCACTGCTGCAACACACAACCCCTATCTACCCCCCCCCCATCTGTCACTTCCATCACCCACAGGTATGCTTTACACATCACAGCAATGTGAGGCCAAGACGGAGGCCAGTCAAGAATCTGAGGTCACGGAATATTCTCTGATGTCAAGGTTTTTTCTCCAACAGCTCCAGAATGTGACGCTTCCTCTGTGTTCACATCACAGTGAGCAGCCACCATCACTGCCGTGAATACAAAGTCATGGAGCCATGTTTTCGCTGCTGAAATACCAAGAGGTGAAGCCCTAATTATTCCCTCTCGTCCATGCCCATAAATAATTTATTGTTGTTTTACTTCTCCAACCTATAACGGCAATATCTGCAAACCACGTGGTATTACTTGGTATTCTGTATTAATTGGTGATTTGAGTCACTAATAAAGACAAACACAATATTTCACATCTTCACTGACGACAACTATTCAGTATTCACTTCACAGCACTGGTGGGAAAAAGAAAGTGCACCCTGGATTTAAAAAACTGGTCCAAACTCATTTGGCAGCAATGACCTCAGGTAAGTGTTTCAGGCAGCGGTGGATCAGACCTGAACAACATCTCAGATAAATTCTGGACCTTTCTTCTGCACAGACCTGCTGCAGCTCTGCTTCATTCTTAGGATGTCTGGCATGAACAGCTCCCTGAGGTCACTCCACGGCATCTCTGAGGGTTCAGGTCTGGGCCACTTGAAAGAGGTAGTCAGCAGCAGCAGCAGCCATCTGTGCCGGCCCAGAGGCAGCAGAGCATCTCTAAGTCGCGGTGCTCTCTTCCTCCACCGTACCTCACTGTTGGGATCGTGATCCAAACCCTGCTTCCATCAGTCCATAAACATTTCCCCTGTAGTGTAAAGGAGGGTGGAGGTGCTCTTCAGCCACATATGCGATGCAGTTTTTTTGGACAGCAACAGCTTGAGCCTCAGTCTCCTGATTCCAAGCTGCATGCAACCAGGATGAGCACACGGCAGACTCATGTCAACAAGCAACGTCACTCCCATCTGGTTTCATTACTGGACTCCTGGTTTGCTAACTCCCCGTAACACTTAGCTTTCACTGACATATGGACAACAGAAATCCAGTGATTTGTGCTGTTGGTTAAATTGATTGCCATTGTTCGTCATTGCGACTCAACGAATTTATGAAATTCCAAAGAGTTAGTTCACTTTTTGTCGGCACTTTATCCACAAACTATTTAAAGTCATCCTTGAAATTTCAAAACAGAATTAAAATATCTTTTGTGGGGCATGTTTTTCAAACCTTGAGACTTTCAGCTCCCCTAAATGTTTTGGTCATAACCTTGAGATCACACCTCAACGGTCTCACCTCTCTCCCGTCTCCTTTCTGTCCCCCCCCTTCCTCTCACAAACCATCTGTTTGTTCTCATTCATCACTGTCTCGCTCGCTCCATTCAAACCCTGATACAAAGGGTACTCTTTTAACCTTCGGTTGCCATTTCATTTTTGTTCAGCATTCTCCTCACGCTAAATTTTCCGTTTTCCCCCTGGATGTCTGGCTGGACTCTACCTTTACCTGCTGTCTGTCTTCATATCTCAGCCTTGTATTGTTTCACTGTCATTCTAGTCAACACACACTGCTCACAGCTGTCAGTCTGCACTATCCTCCCTACATCTCAGAGCTGTACAGCCTTTCTTCATACGCTGCCAACTGCAAGCAAGAACTGGCACTTCCAAGAGGTGTGTTCAGGGTTGCCAGGCACTGCTTATCTGTGACAAATTGGCCAGGATGAGGTTTATTAATTTGGGGAATTATCGCCACGGCCTCATGCAACACAAACTCTCTAAATCTATCTCCCTTTTTCTTTGATTGAATTCACATCACATACCTTTTCTCTACCTGAACTTAACTCTCCAACTTCCCCTCTCCATCCATCACAATCTCACACATCTCTCTCTCTCTCCGCTTCCACTGAAACACTCTCTCTCTTGCACTCCCTCTCTTGGTCCCTGTGCCAGATTCACGAGAAGACAGGTTTGAATTCACACGAGGCAGGAAAACGTGATGGCATTACTCAGTCACCTTTCTCTCAGCTTTGTTACCCGTCAGCTCTGGGAGTAGTGGAAGATGATAGAGAGCTCAGGTGTGTGTGTGTGTGTGTGTGTATATTTGTGTCATTAGCACTTGTATGTTGCATGTATTATTTCCCACAAGGAGGTTATGTGGTTATTAGAGGCACTCATGGCAGAAAATGCCTCTGCCATGACTAACACCATCTTTAACATTTATATTACATATTATAGGTTATATAAATTAAGGTGTTATTATATTTATATATATATAACTGTGACTCCTTACGATGACTTTGTGCTTTGTACAAAATGAGAATGGAGGAACATGTAGAGATGGAGTGAAAATAACATGATGAGCTGGTCTGTTGTTTATGCATGTATGTCGTTGTCCTTGACTTTGTTTTAATGTGTGAGGCATGCATTTTTAATAAACTGCATTTTTGGTGCGTGTGCATGACAGTGTGCCTCTCAGCAAGACTGTATTTTACTTGACAACAAAGTGTGATTTGTACTGAGCTTTAGAGTTGTTGCTTTCTACGACTCCCTCTCTCGTGTTTGCTCTCTTGCAGCTTCTCTGATTTTGCTTTCATCCTCCATATCCTAGATTTCATCTCCGGCATTGTGCTCCCTCTGATGCCATCGACACAGCCATCTGCACGGGCCTCAGTCTGTCCACAGTGCTGTTCATCCCTCTGTCTACATTCTCTTTCTCAGTTACATCCAACACAACTAAACTGTAATTGTACATATGAGCAACACAAAAGAGGCAATATTGACGTTAGACTGATTAAGATGAACACACATCTGTAAATAGGATAATTATCGCTGCTCATTCTGCTGTTTTATTTTTTATAAATCACATTTCCAGTGCTGTGACCAAGGAGAATTAAACTCTGTTCACCTCCATTGTGCTTGGTAAAAATCTCAGGGATGGACACCACATTACATGAGGCGTGACATGCTTCTCTGCCAACTCAGCTGATTGTTGTAAACAATAAACTCTGCGGAACAATTAGTGACATCACTTCCCATTTGATATACGAGTTTGTCTCCTAAGCGTTGTCCTCAAAATCAAACAGTTAATTATTATGAATAATGAACAC